AGCCAATAACATCACGGCAAAACCAACCGATCATTTCACACGAACTGGAATAAGAACATTCTACGGACAACAATCATTCACTTGACTCTGATGATGACTTCCGTACAGGTTGTCGAAACGTCAGTCACTACCACCGACAACAGTCCTTCTCAGGACTACACTCACCCGAACGATCAGACTACACCTTCACATGTTACCTCCGGGTTCAAGCCATTTACTGCACATAAATATTTCTTGTGTTCCTCGAGAGTCATCATTAAACTGTTCACGACCTTGATGAATACTTCCACAAGTAATTATAAAAAAGACATCTATATCACAAACTCACCTCGTTTATCGTATCATTGATTTCTAGCACACCGAGACGGCTGTACACAGCTATTGCTCGAAATCGATCGATATTTCCACATCCATTTTACGCGATGTTATCACAAGCACCCCGGATATAAAAAACGCAATCGACTGCGCATGTCTACGATCTTACATCAGACAAATTTTGGCTTTTTCTCGCTATTGTAAAGAACAGGCTGCTGCCTAACTAGGGCTCGCCAGCAAAAAGACAGACAAAGCCACGAAACAGTGAAAAAAATAAAAATTTCTGGTGGAGAGGAAATCTTTCATTTTCGGACTATATCTCGTACCCAAGTCCTTCTCAAGTAACATTGTGTTTGTAGTTGAAAAAATTTCACCGTCGTGCATCTGGGAACAAGATTCGCGTTTAATTTGTCTTCTTCGACTCTTTCCTGTTCCCCTGCAGATGTTATTCATCAGTTGGAATGAATTACTGGAAGAAGGGTTCACAAACAATCTCTTTAGGAAGTGGCTGCAACCATGCAGGAATTACTATGCACGAGATGATGCACGCTATTGGCTTTTGGCATGAACAGTCACGCTATGACCGTGACAAGTACGTGGAGATCATGTGGGAGAATATTGAGCCTGGTAACTAATGTGATTCATGCCTATATCTCGGATATTACGTCAGAATCGGCTTGTGTAAGGTTTTCGTATTCGGTGCTTTTCTAACAGCCCACTTAAATGGCCTCGGGTAACGAGAAATCCCTCCTCCGCCTCCCGAGTTACCCCTGCAAAACTAATTTTTCACTTTGAAAAATAACATTAAACCAACCAGATACGATGAATGTATGAAGTTCATATATTTTGAACTGCGGTTATAGATACGTATGATGCATGATCCTCGCTGTAGAGAGCGCTATTTATGCAATAGCGAAAAATCAGACCTGATTAAACCAACCGTTTGGTATGAAAGTGGCTGCAGCCTGAGCTCTTCTTTCCTACATTGGGATCGAATTGTATGGAAGGACGAGATGATAATAGGATTGTCTGTTTTTTTTTGTTTTTTTTTTTTTGTTAACAGGAAAAGAACACAATTTCAATAAATACGATAATAACCGGATTGATTATCTAAATGAAGTTTACGACACAGGCAGCATTATGCATTATGGGAAAATAAGCTTTTCCAAAAACGGTCAGCCTACCATACAAGCAATTGGTGACTCGAATGCGGCATTGGGTCAGCGGAATCACTTCAGCAATACTGATATCGCTCAAATGAATGCACTCTATGATTGCTCAGGTAAGCGACTTCTTTTTATGATTAAAGAAGAGATGGAATCGAATAAACCCTTAGGTTGTTTTTGTGTCGATGGGAACTAAAACTTTAACTTGTTTAAAAATATAGTGATTTAGGACCTTCTTGGAACTCATTTCGCTTCATACAATACTCATGCATGAAACATTTATTCTTTCCAAGGCCCTAACAACGGATGGAGTTCATGGACAGACTTTGGTCCGTGCAATGATCAGTGCAAACACACACGTCAGCGGTTTTGTGCATCACACGATTTGAACAACTGTGAAGGTGCAGACCACTATGGAATACAATCACATACGGAGAAATGCAGCAACGAAAAATGTTTAGGTAAGGAGACTGTCAACACCAACAAAATAAAGGTTATAAAACCGGTTATACGGCAGTATGTGAACCCTGAGTAAGTCTAATGTTTTAAGCCTTTGGTTCAGAAGTGTCTTAAGGTCTTAAAACAAGTGAGAAGAATATGCTACCTTTCTGCAACATCAAGAAATGGTTAGATACTCTAGTCTTCTTGGATAGGGATGAATAAATGGAGGTCCCTTCTCCTGCAGGGTTGGGGGTAGGAGACGTTAATTTTTCCCACGCACGAGATTACTGTGTGATGGATGTCCTCCCCTGGGGTGGTTGCTGGGTGGGAATTGGCCCTGAAATGCCCCCATGGGGCGTGGTCAATTAACATAAATATGTATGCATGTAAATTAATCTCAAAGACAAGTCTAATATCCCTCCCTCCAAAGAATTTAAAGCAAAAGGCTAAAAAATAATGAAAATTTTTAACTCACTTTTCAGCTCCAATAGATGGGCACTGGGGAAAGTGGTCATCGTGGTCTTCCTGTAATGTGTCATGTGACAAGGGAACATACAGCAGAACGAGGCATTGCAATGAGCCTAAACCAAAAAATGGCGGGAATGATTGCGATGGAGATGATAAGCAAGTCGGAGAGTGTGTAATGCCAGGCTGTCATTTGGGTAAGAAATTAAGAGCTTTCCAGGCTCCTTGCTTAAGAGGCGTGACTACAAATGTTATACCTGCCGTCTTTTCTTCATTTTCCTCATTGAAGACGCGGGAAAACGCGGCAGACGAGATGGTTTACAGTTTTGCAACTGATTGGTCGAGAGGATGGCGCGAGTTTTCTGAGCCAATCACAGAGCAGAGTTAAGAAAAACTAAAGCAAACTTGGATAATTTTGAATTTAAGAGCACTCGTTACATATGAGACGATAAATACGTTCACCTGGCTAATATCTAACCAATAACCAACTCCCCTTAGTGGCTAACTTTTTTATTAACACCTATAGATATATCACAAAAACTGTAACAAAACGAAACCCTACCATATCCGTGGCCCATGGTTTACGAGCTCGCGTACCACGACCTGCAGACCAATTAGAACTAAGAAATTGCAATATACCATGGGTTTTTTATATGCGAAGTATATTAAGAGTTCAGTTTCAGCCAGGGAAAACCGAAGCAAAGTTTTTCGATGTCCACTTAACACAGGGATATTAAGTGAATCTTTCTTTAACAGAGACATTTCCACTGCTTCCCAGGCGAAACTACTTTTGAGTGAACGAATGATTTGAAGACACTGAAGAAATTTTTGAATCCTGTAATCCATTCCCAGTACTCTATTTCAGGTCCCCAGGACTGTGAGTTTGAGGCGGGTGGGCTTTGTCACTGGACTATTTGTGAACCAAATAAATATCCCAGGTGGTATCATCATCAAGGACCAACCTCAAGTTCAGGAACTGGACCTTCTGGCGACCACACTTCCGGTTCAGGTCAGGCTCATAACTAACCACGCAGCTTTCTTTTGCTGCCTTAAGCTGTTTTCGCGTCTTATCGGATGAATTTTCTCCAGATTTAAATTCAAACAACTTTTCCTCGTTGCTGAGGTAAGCCCAGATGTACGCCTAATTCAAAGGAAAGTTTCACTGACCGACCGACTTATCAACCACTGGGGGATCTAGGGGTAAAAAAAAATCGCAGAAGGA